GTAGCCGGATGAGCAATGCTGAGGTTAGACGCAGAGTTTTGGGTATCCGCAGTCGCCTACTGGAGCAAGTGATCGACCTCCATAGATTACGGTGGTTGGGACATGTGTTATACATGTCACCAGATATTTTAGCACGGCGAGCGATGTTCGTCGAAGCAGATCCCGAGTGAAATAATGCCCAGGGTGGTCAAGCTAAGACCTCAAATGAGGGTGTGAAAACCCCGACCAGTGGACTGGGTGACATCGGTCCTGTTGGGCTCCCTGATTGGGGACCTCGGAATGACCGTGGCGGATGGTTAGAGACACTGAGTGATATGGCTGGGTGTCGTGAACAGTGGCGTTCGTGCATTTTCTCAATTTCTCTGTATCATTAGTCCACTGAAGTTTTCAATTTTCTCTTCGATCCTACTTTCAGGCTTTCCTGTCTTTCTCCTAATATTCATCTAAATGGGCAGCCTAAGGAAAGCAAGCAAATCCGGCGCACGAAAGTGCGTGGTTATGGTCAATGTTGAATGTGATGTTAACCTATCAATTGACATGTAGACCACATTCTCTAGTCAACGTAATCCATCTCCGGCTCTGGTGGTCTACTGTGATTGGCTATAACTCTCTACTGAACGGGAGGTTTGCCTATCCGTTTGAACCATCAGATTCATGCAATGCTGTGGCGATCGCAGTATTTGGACACCGATAGTTTCTATCGGTCAAATTTTTACACCACGTGGGAACAGCGGTCAAATTGATGCTGCATATCCAGTGTCTGATGAGGAATCAGTTTATCACATATCCCCACATTACGAGTCACCAGGTTGCCCGTAGCACGTGTTGACAACGGTGAATATGCTACCACATTTTGTCACGAAGCTGTTCTTCATTCAAGCTCTAAACTTCCCCGTTTTTCCTTTCTACCTCCCAATGCACTTGCATTAGCCATTTGACAACTGAAATTCGTCCTGGATTCCGCTGTGGCAACCATCAATTTTGCGATTGGGTTTTAGCCACTATCAAACATTGAAATTCTGAGTGATTATAGCAGAGATCCAGCCAAAGCCAATAAACAAATAAGGCAGATGAAGCGAATTCCGAACCATTTAACGATTAATTTCCGGCAGCGTATTATAAGCCGTTATACCCTTGCTCTGGTTCGCGAGATCTGATTTGGTGTTAAGGATGTTCGTTGTGGTTTTTCTCCTGGTCAGACATCGCACAACAGCCCGGTCGTCATATAACGGCAACACAGTTATCACATGTCACACATCATCCCTCAAATACCAGCTGGCGTAGCTATATTATGGTTTCATTGATTGCAGGTACACAACTTTAGAAGTGAATTAACTAGGACCACGATCTTCGAAAGCTCCTATGTTTTCCTGATGTATTTGTTGTGGTAGCTTGCTAGGTGCTCAGTCTCGAACTCGACCGTTTTTGACTGACGGGAGAGAGTACGATTACGCATGAGGTCAAACGCTTTTGAGGTTTTGGTACGCTCAGGCGATCATCTTTTCACTCTTGTTCGTACCATAGATCGCACACTATCAGTTTGGTCACAATCGGACCGTGTCCATATTTGGCTTGCGTGACAGATTTAACCTTTCCGGATTAAATCTGTCGCACACTGTCTGTCATTCTTTGCGCACTATTACTTCACCGTTCTGTTGTAGTTGAGCGTGACAGTTGCGATTAACCAAACGACACTAAGTAATCTAATTTGCCCGGGGAGGTGGTCCATCGGTCGGCCAATCGAGCATCATTGCTGAGGATGGGGTCATTTGTTGAATTGTATGCTTTCTGTCTTAAGCTAATTAACATCTCTATGAATGCGCTATTGGTCAGGATGCGCTTTAACCTATTCTGTGTGTGAACTCGATGTAAAGTTCGAAATCCCTCAATCGGTGGCTCGTGTTGGGTATATGTTTCTAGACCTCGTGTACAAGCCTGGAGAGTACTCCCAATGCTGACCGTGTAAGACGCGCTGAGACTAAACAGAGATTTTAAACCCACTTTCTTTTCTATCGTCTATCTTCATCCTTAACGACATTTTTTAGGGCATTGTTTTTTGTGTCACATGTCATCCGTTCCTTGATTGATTTTACTGTGAGACAATACACTGCTGTTCTTCTACTACGAAAGAGTCTCATAAATCATTCGTTCTTCACTTGAGACAAACACCATAGTATCAAACGATTTGATNTTTGATTTCCAATTTTTTTTGTGCATTTTTCGTTCCAGTTTAAAGCCCAACCCTTCTTCAAGGGCAGAAACTTCCTCTTACGTTCAGCTTCATACGACAACTCTTTAACAGAGGCCCTCATCTACTTTAACCACTCCATTAATCATCATACCTGAACTCCTCATAAACATGCCACATTCTGTACACGGTAGCGTTTTGCGGTGTCCGACACAGAACTCTCAACAGCTGTTTCGTCCTTGATGGAAGCAGTCAATAATGTACGATTTTCATATCACATTGGCCTAGAACTGCGAAGTTTCTGGTTGACAGTCAAAACCTTCGTCCCTGATGGAACACCCGAATAATACATTGCGTACGATTCCCATCTCTTCAGTGCTCTTTGTCGATCATCACGAATTCCTCAGTGTTGTCGATGGTGGGTATCGGGGTTTATGATTGCACATCCTTCCGTTGCATCTCTCAAAGTGCTTCTGTGCGACCTCTGCTGAGGAAATCAAACTTATTGCTTCATGTTGTCCGGGTGTTTTCATACCAAAGTGACAGAACGTAAAGGAAACCATTGGAATTTAGCCGGGTTGATAAACCACCCTCCGT